AAATATTTCATTAAAATTTTATTATTTAACTCACTGTTCTTATCTTTTGCTAAATGTTCAATTTAAATGTAAAAAGTTTCATGTAAGTAATAAATCCTATTTATAAATGTTGCATATAAATAATAAAGTTCACATTTAAGCATTTGGGAATGGAATGCTGCCTTTGCTGTTGGTGCTCAGCTTTTGTTGTGATGTCATCATTCTGAGACAAACGCTAACACTGCTAATGCTGCTGAAGATGGTGCTTTAAATTTAAATTCAAAATGTGCTCAGTGAAAACAGTTGATGGTTCCTATGGTCTGGCAGTTTGAAGTTCAGCTCCGACACCATGACTGCAAGTTTGATGTCATGTAGGGAAGCGTTAGCAGCATTAGCCTTTGCGTTTTGTTGCAGGATGATTACGTCATAACAAGAGCTGCGTGCCAACGGCAAAGGCTGTTTCATTTTGAAATACTTGAATGTAAACTTCAACATTTAGCTACAACATTTACATTTAACTTTTACATTTAGATTTAGAATTTAACATAACTTTTAACATCTAGTCAAAATCAGCAAAAACACTGAGCTAAATACCAATAAAATGTTAGTGGAAATTTTRTAACTAGAATTTTACAWTCAGAATGTGAGCTAAACACTGAAGATGTGTTAGTGACATTTTTACCATTTAACTTTACACGTGGCGCTCCATAATGACCTGATGGGAAGATTAGATTGAAAAATTGTACTGTCCTAAATCAAACGATACATTTGCCTTATTTTTTGACTCAGCAGTTTTCTTAGTCATTCTTGCAGCCTGTGAACTTTTAAGTGACTGGCCTTTTTTCTGACAGGTTTTAAAGGAAAACATGARGCAAGAAGTCCAGTCCATCGTGCCGATGAGGGGTTTATTGCTTCAGGTAACCCAGAAAACCTCCTTTAGGTTGAGATCTTGTGTGTAAGAATACAAAACATCTGTACACACCCATACCACGCTCTCACACACACACATTTCTAGACAGCAAGGCGTTAAAGTCTCTCAGCTGGACGAGCGTCTCTTTGGGTTCAAACTAACTCCTCAGGAGGACCAGCAGCGCAGGGAACAGCAGGGTGACGGCGGCTGGACCGATCCTCTGCGTTTGACCCTTCAGGGTCTCCTGGTTGGTTTGGTCGGAGGAGGGGGAGCTCTGAGGGGCGGGAGAGGTGATGGAGGGGAGGGTGGTGCGGCTGGCGCACATGTCGTACAGGTTTCCAGAGAACTGTGTCTTCCTGGACTCCTGCCTCAGAGACTCCCAGATAGCCGCTGCTTCGCCGGGACAGCCGGCCAGGGCGGAGTTGGCGCAGACGTGAAACGCGTTCCAGGACCTTYAATTGAACCAGAACCAGAGAGGATGTTGGTGCAAGAAGGGAATGAGAGCAGAAGTTGCTGTAGAGCAACAAAATCACTGATATCTGACTTTTCTTTAATGTGTAACAATCAGATTTGATCTACTGCAGATGACCCAGGAGGCCTCAGTCATGGTAAGTTCACACCGAATGTGTTTTGAGCAGCAAAAAAGCACCCAACGCCTCAAGTTGGACGTGCTACTTTCAGACCGGGACACAGACTAGAGGCGCATCTGAAGAGGGATGAGCGTCTTGTTTTTTTTTTTTCCGGTCTGTCTTAGGTGGATAAATTCAAGACAAAATAAAGAAAATGGCTTTTTGCTTTATTTACTAAAGAGCAAGCGAACATTGCGCACAACAGATAATTAATTCACCAGATGATTTAGAGGCGACGTGCTGACAGACTATATTTTGTCCCGAGCCCAGTTTATGACTGCGGTCAKTTTAACGAGCTGCTGACCCACATCGGTGCTGATATCTCCAGCCAGAACACCAACTGCAGACGGTCGATTTCAGCTAAAGAGCTGCTGTCCATCTGTTTGTGGGCAACATTCAGGAAACCGTCACGTGGAAAAATTAGTCTCTCTGATTGGCTGCTGCGGCGCGACGAGCAGCAAAAGTTMMGATTTTTGAACTCCAGCGTCGGCTGCTTTGGATGCACCGCATGCACGGAAAATRCTCTACCACTACCTTCCGCTTCCTTGCGCACCGCGCTAAAGGGACATGACGCGCCGTTAGACAGCTAGAGRCGCGTCCACCATAGACTTTGCATGTAAACTGTCCRCTCCTGCAGCTCAAAGCGTGTTTGGTGTGAACGTACCATCAGTTGTTTGACTCAAAGGCAGCGCTGGAGGCTTAAAAGACTTCATAAGGATTGTTAGCAAATCTAAAATTCATTTATTGTGGTCCAAAGCAAAAGATCTATGATGACATTCTTTTTAGAAACGATTGGTTTTGAGTCAAAATGATGCAAAGTTTTGTAGTTATTGAGGTGTTAGCAAATTAGAAGACTGTTCTGTTGTCCTGCTTTCTTAGATATTAAATAAAGATTATATTTACGTTCAGTGTTGCCAGGTGTCCCACCAATGAGATGCTACTTTAAGGAAGCAGTGGTCCTCTATAAATTTGGTGCACCAAAAACCAAATTCAGCCTAATTCAGTTCAGAGTTTCTTACCTTCTATATTGCCATTTTTTCCAAAGTAGCTTGTAAGTGACAACAGAAGCTAAAAATCAAAGTGAAACTACCTGAGGTCACTGGTGGTCACAAGGCTTTGTTATGACTGCAGGCAGTGGTGAGCACAGCTAACCAAAAGGTTAGCTTTCTGACTTAAAATCTGCTAACTAAAAATATAACTTCACTAATGCTAAAGCTAAATATGTAAAAAAAAAAAAAAACATTAGTGGAAGCTAACAATAAGCAGCCTAACAATTAAAAATTAGCAGAAGCTAACACTAAACAGCTAAACTAATGAAATTTAGCATAGCTGCTACWAGCTAACTGTTAAGAGGTTTTTCACTCAGTTCTTGAAGCAGAAGACTGTTGGGACAGACAAAAACCTGTTAATGTTAGTTTGGTAGTTAGCGATAAGTGGACTTAATGTTGGTAAACCTAATTTAGCATAAGCTAATTGGTCTGCAAATAGTGAAAAAGCTAATCTATTAAACAAAAAATTAGTTCTGCTATTAGCTGTTTAGGGAAGGTCACATAGAAGACATTCATTGCATCACATGTAAAATAAAGGTTGTTTTCTCTAAAAGAAGCTGCCTGAAGCATCAGAAAATAAAGAMAATAATAATAATATCAATAAATCCACAGCTCACAAACTGTAAAAGTTTATTTCTGTCTTTCACACCAGTTGTGCTGCTTCAAGCATGAAATGTGTCAAACTGGAGAAAGTCTAAGTGAACAGTTCCTACTGGGACACAGCAAACACACACCTGCAGATTGAATCGATGTCCTGCGTKTCCTGGTCTTTCTGTGTTTCCACCAAACTGTCCCCGAGAGCGAGCAAACACTGAGCGAAGCTCTTGTAGATGGAGCCACACGCAACAGGAATGGCTGCCCCACAACACACGTGAGCCAAGCCTGCAGACAAAAACAGATTTAAACTTTATATCAAGATCATTTTTATTCATGTTGATAAAAGACACGGTGCAGCTGGTGCAAAGATGGATCAAACAAAAATACAAAAAAATGTTGTAATTCCATTTATCTGGGGAGATTAAACACGCACAGAGCCAAATTCTGTCAAGGACAAATCATCTACAGGCTGTCTGAGCTCTATGATGAGCTCATAGATTATTCTTTATTCTTTTAATGCAGATCAGATCATAAAACACGTGCTTATGAACTGTTAGCATCTTACCTGTTATAGATAACTCTTTGAGTTTGGAGAAACAGAGCTTAATTTACATGAGACCTTTATATTGTTTTCACAGTTAATCCAGTGGAAATGTTATGAAATTCCTCGGATATGTGTCAGGCTGCACCTGAAGTGCTACAGCTAGCTGCTACTGCTTGCAAATAACAGCAGAACCACATGATTTAAAATTGATGACGATGTTCAAAACAGCATTTAAACGAATCAAAATAAAAGCTTTTGAGATTGGTTGTAATTTCAGACGATACAATTTCTGACTAGCCATTAGCTCATCAGTTTGTCTTAATTTAGTTCTCTACTTGTTATTTAAGACATTAAATTGTTCACGACCTTTCCACAGAACCTCCCTTCAAGATATCGGAACTGTTCCTTTAAGTTTGCTGTTTTTCAAAACCACATCAGTTTTATTATTTCTTCACCGAAAATAAGTCAATTTTAAATAACAGATGTTTTTAACGTGTGCTCGTTCACACAAACACACACAGTTGTTCTTCTATCCTAATGGGGACTTTGCATTGACTTCCATTCATTTACCGGTCATTTCTATAGCCTAACCCTGACCCCTTATTCTAAACCTAAACTCAATTCACACTTAAGTCCTAACCTTAACCACTGACCCACCAACGGTATTTCCCCCAATGGGGATCAGGCTTTTGTTCCCACAAGGAAGAGTGGGTGTAAAAATTGTCCCCATCGAGTAAAAACATGTACACACACACACACACAGTAGCGGAGAGCAAAAAGAAGCCATAGGACAAAAATCTGTACTTTCTCAAGATTAAAAAACTTTTCTCCCTTTGTTCAGGTCAGATCTGAGTTTTTGAATCTTCACAACTCGTTCAGATTACTTTCTTTTCATTAACCCATTTAAACACCTTAAACAGTGTTGAAAACTTTAAAATGTTTTTGATAAAATCCAGAAACAGACCCCCACAACAAACTGAAACACCCAGAGAGCCCAGGGTGGTTCTTACTGAGGCAGAGGGCGATGGGCAGCAGCACCGTCGCAGCTCCTGGATGAGACCTCATCGTCGGGTTTAGCAGAGCCCCGTGGAGCTCGGATCCACCTCTGGAACACGACAGTGAAGCTCCCACTGTCTGGAGAATCCAAAGCAGGCGGGGAGGAAAGTATTTGCTTTAAAATGTGATGTTTCCTGCCATCCGATGGGAATTCATCAGATTGCAAAAATAAATAAATAAATAAAAGTACGACAATGCTCAGAGGCACAAGCCAGCTGGATTAACAGTTAAAGGGACCATTGCATCACAGAGGATGCTGTGTGTGTGTGTGTGTGTGTGTGTGTGTGTGTGTGTGTGTGTGTGTGTGTGTGT